AGGAGGAGGAGAGGAGGAAGAAGTAGGAGGGTGAGAGAGGAGAGGGAGAGGAGACTGGAGTTGGGAGGGGGAATAGGGAAAGGGGGAGGAGGAGGGAAAGAAAGAGGAGGGGCGAGAGTCCGATATAGAAGCTGGGAGGTGAAGCAAAAAGGGGGATAAACAGAGAGAAGAGGAAGAGAAAGAGAGGAGAGAGAGTCTGGAAATAGAGGGAAGGAGAGAGAGGAAGACTAACAGAGAAGAGGAAGAGAAAGAGAGGAGAGAGAGTCTGGAAATAGAGGGAAGGAGAGAGAGGGAGACTAAGAGAGAAGAGGAAGAGAAAGAGAGGAGATAAAGATAAAGAGGAAGGTGGAGGGACGAAGAACAAATTGCAGTAGTAATAATAGCAATAAATCAACAATGAAAGACAGTTATAATCATAATAAAGATAATAATTACACCCAAATCATTCTTCACAACAACAAAAACAATAACAACCATAAACTGAAATGAAAAAAAGCAAAACAAAAAAACAAAAACACAACAGCAGTGATACCAATTATAATACCAACCCCCTACCCCCACCCCCCCAGCTCCAATACTGCCATGAACAGTAATGAATTAATGAACGTTCAGGTATGAGGCGCATGAGGAGTATGAGGTATGAGGGAGCAATGTAGCTACCTGTGTGACAGCTGATGGGCAAGTGACTGACACGAAGCGGCAAGGTGGCAGCTTATTAAACATGGGATGATCGCTGGCAGGATGTTGCGTTGCAGGGTTGTTATTGGTGTTGCTGTTGTTGGTGTTGTTGTTATTGTTATTGTTGTTGGTGGTGATTTGGTATTGTTGTTGGTATTGTTTTTGGTGTCATTGGTGTCGTTATTGTTGTTATTGCTGCTGATGTTATTGGTGTTGTTATTGTTTTATTGTTCTTATTGTTGCTATCATTGTTATTTTCTTTTACTTGTGTAAGTGAGGAAGATGACGATAACAATCCAGATGCCGCTGTCTAGTTATGATAGTGATTGTACGTGTGATGTATTTTAAGTATTTTGTTTTATTTATTGGGTTATTTTTGTTATTTTATGCGTGGTAATTATCCGGGTGAATTGTATTTAAATCTTTTATCGAAATAAATTTGTTATTTTGTATATAAACGTATCTGAATAAGTCATCCCTCTATGAAAAAAATATATAAATGCGCAGTGCAGAGATAGATTGGTAATTTGAATACGTTTTATACTCTGTGATCAAGTAAACCTATAAATAAATCTTCAGACAATGGATACAAAAAAAAACCCCGTCAGATACCCTTTCAGAATCTGCCAGTCAATCACTATATTTTTTTTCCTTTAATTCTTTTTCAAAATAAAACGGCTCCTTGACGTGATGCTTCATTTATTGAGATCGATCGTCTCTTGTTTTTGTTTTTTGTTTTTGTTTTGTTTTTTGTTATTTTCATATGATAAAACTAACAAAGACTTTTAAAAAAACATAAAACAAGGCTTGCATATTTAAACAAATTCAAAGAAATTATCTTTTCAACCCAACAAGTACTTTGCTAACAGACGTGGTTTTATAACGGTATATTAAGTACAAATAATATCAATATACTCTTTTATTGCATACGCATTGCAAATTCAGTAACGCATAGACGATATCCTTTTAACACACTGCAACTAATATACAGAATACAATAACACGCGGCATTGCAAGAGGGGCAATGAACTCACACAATACGCTGTAAAGCACACGTAGTAAAAATAGTAATGATGTTTACTCACAGTATACGCAACATTAAGGAAAGAAAGAACGACGGGGAAAGAACTACGCTTTTCCGGGACGCGTTTCCTTGTAAATGTATATTTGAAGTTGTGCGAAGCCTGATGGAGTTTCCTTTTTTTTTTTTTTTTTTTAAAGGTGGATGGGGATGGTTTGGAAGGTGAGGGGGGAGGAGGAAGGGGAGAGGGAATGGGGAGAAAGAGAGGGGGAAGAGAGGGGTGGAGAGGAGGGGAGAAGGAGAGGGGGAGTGAGGGGGAAGAGAGGGGTGGAGAGAAGGGGAGAAGGGAAGGGGAGGGAGGGGGAAGAGAGGGGTGGAGAGGAGGGGAGAAGGAGAGGAAAGGGTGGAGGAAAAGGATGGAAAAGAGGGAGGAGGGAGGAGGGAGAGGGAGAGGGAGAGGGAGAGGGAGATAGAGAGGAGGAGGGGGGAAGGAAAAGGAAGGGATGAGGGAGAAGAGAAGAGCGAGAGAGAGGGAAAGCAAGAGTGCAGAATGAGAGTAAAGTGAGAGAGAGAGAGAGAGAGAGAGAGAGAGAGAGAGAAAGAGAGAGAGAGAGAGAGGGAGAGTGAATGGTAGTATGGAAAGGGAAACTAAAAAGGATGATAAAGAGCAAGATAAGGAAGTAGGGAAAGTGAGAGAGGAAAAGAGAATGCAGGCGGCAGTAAGAAGGGGGAAAATGAAATTGAAGAAGAATAACGTAATTGTAAAAAAAATAAAATTTCCATTATCGAGATTTTATCTCTTTGGTCACATGGACATGAAAGAAGATTATTTTGTCGTTTAAAGTTTGTGAAGATTATCATTTAG